ACGATGAAATTGTAAAAATATTGTAACGCTACCACCTGGTAAGAATTACAGGCGATAGGCAGAGGCAAGCTATAAGTGGTGGAGTTTACAATAGGTTCTGTGTAGGAGGTAGAAGGTGGAGGGTACCTTTGTAGCATGAGAAGATAGGGGATTTATTAAATATCTTGAAGTCTCATTGTTTTCATTTTAAATAAATTAAGCTATTACCAAGGAAAACCAAGAAAAAATAGGCTAGAAATATAAGACCTTTGTTTTCCTTAATATTCTGACTTGTTTTTGTTTGTAAAAATATATACATATGACTGCTCATCATTTTGCATGTAAATTGAGTCCCTTATATTACTTTCTTGGCTAACACCAATAAATCTAAAGGCCTAAACTTCAACTGAGGTTCTAACTCAGTTCTTGACTCCTGAATTCTAAAAGTTGTGATCTTGAATTCTAGAAGCTGTGATCTCCAGAAGTTTTCTGGAGATGATTTTCCCTTGAAAATTCAATAGAATACTGGTACATCTAGCTTTTTTGTTTGGTAAGAAAGATTCATCAAGTTTATTTTAACCTTAAAAATGGCTTTTTGCCATTTTCATTTAAGAGGAAAGCATTTAATATTTATCTCTGTTTTGCAGACAGTTTCAGATCCTGGAGAAGCATGAATCTTCCCATCACACAATCTTGATTCTTACCCTTTTCCTTAGTTCTGTACTTTTTTTACAGGCTTTGGAAAATTTTTCTTCTCCTCTTGAGGAAATTAAAACTTAAGGAAATAGGTCTGCTAGCTACACAAACATTTAGCAGAACATTACCAAAATTAAGGAAGTAGAGAGAATTGAAAACAGCGCTTAGGGAGCCTACATCATGTAGCAGACAAAGTGAGATGTACTTTAAAGTGCTGTCATCTCCATTTTTCAGATGCGATATCTAAGACTAAGAAGTTCAATATATGCAGAAGGTCAAGATAGGAGTGGCAGGGCTGAAACTCAAGGGTAGGTGCTTTGAACTCTGGCTCCACCTCTTAACTGCTTCCTCCCAACAAAGATTATTTTGAAGCATGTGACTAGCAAAGGAGAAGGAAAAGCAAAGAGATCAGAAAGCAGTCAACATTTTAACTCCTAAATGAGAAGAAATGTAATAGAAATATAAGTTTGTTGGTAAGAGTGATATATAAGGAGGAGGGAAATATAGAGTAGGGTAGCCTGGGATAGAGGGAAAATGGAAAGTAAGCTCAAAATACAATGTTAGAGAGCTGGGAGCAGTGGTGCACACCTGTAATTGCAGTGGTTTGGGAGGCTGAGGAAGAAGGCTCTTCAGTTCAAAGCCAGCCTCAACAACAGCAAGGTGCTAAGCAACTCAGTGAGACCCTGTCTCTATATAAAATACAAAATAGGGCTGTGGCTCAGTGGTAGAGTGCCCCTGAGTTCAGTTCCTGGTACCCCACCCATTGAAAAAAAAATACAATGTCAGGAACTAACTCAGTGGATAAATGAGTAGCACAATTTTGGACTGAGGCTCTCTCCAAAAAGGCATCAGGAAGAAATGGAGACATGAGAAGACTGAGATGAGAGTTAAGAAATAGAATGAATAGCAATGTCAAGTAGAATCCTTGACAGGCAAAGAAGTTAACTGACGTCAGAGGGTATTTGAAGAAAAAAAAATGAATAAGCATATAGAAAATGCCATGAAAATCAAACTCCTCATGTGGAAATGAACTTATAGTAAAGTTACTCTATAGTGGCTTGAATAGCATCCCCAGTAAGGAAATTCGAGCATGACCTTTTTTTGGAAATAGGATCTTTGAATATGTAATTAAAGTTAAGACAAGATCATACTGGTTAAACTGGGCCCTAAATTGATTGATTTGTATTTGCATACATATAAAGAAGGCCACATGATGCTCAGGGGAAGTAGGGACAGCTATTAAGGTGATGTGACTACATGCCAAGGAATACTAAGGATTGTTGACAATCACAAGAAGCTAGGAAGAAGCAAGATTTCTGCACTAGAGACTTTAGAGGGATCATAGATTTGTTAGGATCTTCTCAGGAAACTAATATGTAGTCCTCACTTAGACCTTAGCAAAGTGTAAAAATTTTGAGGTTAAAAACTGGAACATCCTATGGTGAACAGGAAGCAGGTTGTCCTTGGTCTTTTCTATATAGCCATATCAGAATGCAAGAAGGCAAAGGAATAATATAATTTAAAAGTGCTGAGACTAGCAAATTTTGGGCTTAGAATATCATGAATAGTTACTTATTTAAATGGAGGGGTAAAATAAAGATATCCTGATAAAATCTCAGTTTGCCACATGTACACCCTTTAGGAAAGTAATTTTGGAGAATGTATTATAGCAATAATAAATGATGTTAATCCAGGAGGAAGGAATGGAAAGTAGGAAATAAGAGGAAATATAGAATTTAGTGATTTTTTGTGCAAAAACACAATAACAACTTTAGTTTCTAGGTGCATGATGGAGTAATGAGAAAATTTTCTAGTGAAAATAACTTTATATGAGGTGAATGTTCATTCAAAGGTATAGCTGAACTTTGAAGAAAATAGGGAACTAAGAACCAAAGAGGAAGCTAAGATTCAAAACAGGCAATGATGTTGGAGCTCAAAGTGTACTAGAGAGAGTGGGAATAAGGGTGTTAAAAAACATGTAAATAGTTACTTGAAATTAGAACTTGGTATTATTTGATCATGCCAGAAATAAGGACCTGAGGAAGATAGAGTATGATATCTGACAGAGATCAGAGGTAGTAAGAGTATGTTAAGGACATTGATACTGATGGGGAAATTCAGTATGAGAGTAACTGTTACTGAAACAAAATAGAGTGTAATTTTCATAACCATGGAAAAATTTCCTGATTTAACTATGAAAGGTAGTAAAGAGAAGAAGTAAAATAAAAAGATGAAGATGTTTGAAATAAACAATTGGCATAAATATAGATGGGTTAAACTTATAGGGTGTATTCTCTAATATAGAAAACAAGGTCCTGATATTTATATTAAAATATTACACAGATTGAAGAGGTGATGGAAAAAGTCATTCTTGTCACATGCACACAAAAAAAGGAACAATAAATGAAAGGGATAAAACAAGCAGGAATATCTACATGTCTATTAAAGAATAGCTGCAATATAGAGGAAACAGCAATTTATGGCATTTGCCTTTGGTTTAGCAACTATAGTTAGAAATGTACCTGTTCTCAGAAACTGGTGAAGCAATGAGACAAAAAGTAAGCAGAGATAGTTTTGGATAACAATGACTTTGATCTGTGTACATAGAATTGATTCAACAAAAGAAGAATTCCTTTTATTTTGGAGGGGGTGCAGTTTATGCACAAGTTTCATTTTCTAATGGGTCAGGAAGGAAGCCTCAAATGCTAAAAACCAAGAGTATAAAGGTTCCTTTCTCTAACTACAGTGCTATAAAGTCAGACATTATTAACGAAAAGATAGCAAAAACATTACATATGTCTGAAAATGAAAAAGCATACTATGAACTAACCCTCAGGTTAAATAGGAAATGATAACAAGAATAGCAAAATTTCAGAGCTGAATGATAATAAAAGCACAGTAGGTGAAAGAGCTAATGGAATACTTGGAAGGCAATATATGGCTTTTGTTAGTCAAGAGAAAATCACAAAGTTAGAAACCCCATAAGCTCAACGTTTGACTCAGGTAACCAGAAAAACTGTAACATAGTAAATCTGAAGAAGCGAGAATGGAAAAAGAATCAGAAGAAAGAAGTGCAGAAAATCAGTCATGATATAACAATAATTTAAAAGTGAAAAAACCGAAGTTGATTCTTTGAAAAATTTAATGTTAGATGTAGCCTTGACAGGTGAAGAAAAAATAATTACATATATTGTGATAAAATACAAAAATAGTTTAAAATAATGATCTATAATTATTTTATTGATTAAAGTGTGAATTTTTATCTATAAAAATTTAAATTTGTGTGAAAGGATATATGGATAAGAAATTGATACAGGAAAGAACACTTGAGTAGATCAGAAAACATAAAAATCATAATGATCATCAAAAGTTAGTCCTCCCTGTAAGAGGAAAAGGGTTACAGTTTTACAAGTGAGTTCTGCTTAACTTGCAAGGAACAGAAAATACTCCTTTATAAAAATTTCTTTTAGCACAAAAAATGAACCGGTTAAGTTTGGTTTTAATAAACAAGGTTAAGTTGAGGCTTGAAAAAAATGTTGGCCAACTTCACTTATGACATTGAGAGATACTAAATATTAAATAAAACTTGGTGACTGAATCAAACATAAATGTGAAAGGATAGCACAATATTTCAAAAAAATCTGTAATGTCATTTTCCATATTCATGGCAAAGAAGAAGCGGTTGCATCTTCATTGATATAAAACATGTATTAAGGTTTTTTTATAAATGTAATCAATCCTTATCAAATTTAAAATACAAGGGATTTTCAAGTTTGATAAAGGCTTTCTACTAAAAATCTATAACAGGGACAAGACAAGGATGACTCTGTTGCTTTTACTTCTCAACACATTACCAGATACCTGACCATTGCAATAGACAGAGAGAGAAACAAAAAGAATTGAAATGAGAGATAACACTGTCATTACCTCTATGTGAAATCATTTATATAGAAAATCAAAGAGAATCAGCAGAAACTATTAGCAGTAATACAAGAGTTCAGCTTGGTTGCTAGCTGTAAGAGTAACACATAAAAATCAATAGCTTTCCTCTGTGTTGGGAGTAACCAATTATGAACTATGACAATAAGATACCATTTATAATAGTGACATAAACTAAGCTATCTAGGAATAAATCTAAGATAGAATGCATAAAACATGTAAGGAAAATTTAAAACTCTATTACAAGAGTTTTATTATGATATTAAAGAGCATAAATGCAGTGTTCATAAATGGCTTTATGGAATATTGTGAAGATGTCACATATCCCCTCCATTAAAATTCAAATCCGGTCCAACAAATAACCAAGAATTTTTTTTTTTTTGAAGGAGCAGAGTAAATTTCTGTAGGAGAGTAAATCAAGAAAAATAAATTCTTTCTCCATAAGGTAAGTAGCAAATCTGTAACAAGAGTTAGCAAATACAGCCCACAATCAAATATAGTCTGGAATTGTTTTTGTAAGTAAAGTTTTATTAGGACGCAGCACACCTATTCATTTAGATATTGCCAGTGACTGCTTTCATGCTGTGATGACAGAATTGAGTAGTTGAAGCACCAACTGCTGCATCTGTCCCTCTGCAGAAATAATTTAGTAACCTCTCTTCTACAGCATCTGGCATGGAATCAGACTAAAACAATCCAGACTCATTCCTATGTACATATAAGATATAGTGTAGTCATTCCCACATATCAGTACAAAGAAAATTGACTCATAAAAGGAGAAAAGTGAAACTGTTTTCATATCTCATATTATGAACAAAGTCCCATGTGAAATGAATAAATATCTGTTAAAAGTGAAGAATATAAAAGTTATAAAAGAACATTCAAGAATATGTTTTGCTACCTAAGCTGGACAAAGTGATAAAGTGATGCATGCCTGTAATCCCAGTGATTCTGGAAGCAGAGGCAGAAGACTCTCAAGTTCAAGGCCAGCTTTGGCAATTTAGCAAGGCCTCAAAACCCTTCCTCAAAAAAAAAAAAGGGGGGGGGATGTAGCTCAGTGATAAAACATCATTGGGTTCAATCTCTAGTCCCCCTTGCCACACTGTCACCACCAAAAAAGGAATATATTTGGTAGCCTTATGATAGAGAAGGATATGTTACATAAGACTCACAGAGCACAAAAGAAAGAAAAAAAAAGAAAATGTGAATGCCCCAAAATGCATGCATTTTGTTCAGTTGAGAGAATAGCAGAAAAATTAGCACATGATAAAAATATAATTGTCATGTTTAATAGGCCACAATCAATATTCAGAATATACTAGGGACTCTGAAAAAATCAGAAAGTAGAAGGGAGGAGAGTAATAAAAACAGAACAAATAGGGCTGGGGATATAACTCAGTGGTAGAGCACTTGCCTAGCCTGTGAATATCACTGGGTTTATTCTTAAGAACTGCAAACAAGAAAAAAGAGAGCAAATTGGTAGTTTGTACACACATTGCTATAAGAAACAAGCAAATTAAAAAGAAGAGACACCATTTGCCAATCAACCAGTAAAAGTGAGGAGAGCAGATACTATAATAGTGCTGATAAGAGTGTAGGAAAACAAATCTTCATGAATTGCTCTGGGAATACAAACTGGTGCATGTATTTTAGAAAACCTAAGTACATATATTACCTGAAACCCATAATGGAAGTGTAGTATAGGTATCTAGGGAAATACACCTGCAGATGGCAGTTAGTGGTGTTTGTGGTAAAAGACTAGTCCATGAGCTCTGTGGGGAGGGACCAGAATTCCATGGTGGAATCCAGTGAGAAGCTATAAGAGATAAGGGGGTATTTATAACAACATTGATAGTCTCTGAAAGAATGTTGAGAGAAAACAGAAGAATGGGATTTAAAATATGATTTGAAGAGCCCTGAATATATTTTGACATATGAAATATATGTATACAAACACATAAAGGGTTGCAAATAGTACATTAATTGTGAAAAAGTGAATCCTTTAATCAAGGGGGAGGGATGGTGCTGGGCATAAAGGGTGAATGGGAGAGTGATAAGAGAAAAATAAAACTACCAGGGAGAGCCCATTATGGACTCTTGATAATAGAAGCTCATCAAATACAGCCTATGCTTAAGACTGTGCAAACGTCTGCAAAGGGAAATTCTAGGGACATAATTCTTTCTAGCATTGTTATATCCAGATACTTAGACAATGTCATCAGGTGTGGGTCTCTGTTTCTTGGTTCTGTTTGCCTCATGTTAGCTCTGATATGTTTTTAGGGAGATCTCTAGCTATTTGAGTTCATGTTTAACCAGTCTGGCAACTCAGCTAAAAAAAGCTCTCTTTAATATTAGCAGTAATCATTGGGAAGATATCCTTGCCTTCAATGACTCATTTTGTGTTCCATGTCCTCTCCTGAAGCAGTGATAATGCCAGAGAAGTGCCCATCTCTGGTACCTGGCAGTAGGAAGAGCCCCATCTGTAGACTAGGGTGAAGTATACCCCAAAGAAAATAAAAGTGATGTGGTTAGAACTCTAGAAAGTAGCTTCTGGGGAGGCAAAGAACCACAGGGATTACCGGTTCTAGAACCAGTATTGTTCTGGAGTGGTTTGCACAATTTGCATGTTTCTTTTTAGAAAAACTAGAAGAAATAAAGAATGGTTAAACCCAAATATCTGAGGCACTGTGGCTTGAATGATTCTTGTTTTATATGGCCCCAAGGAATAAATCCTCAACAAATGGGTGACTTGGTATTAAGAGTAACTAATGGGGGAGTTAATTATCTTAGAAGGAATGTATAGCAAACATCCCATCTCTGGGATATTTCAAGCATAAGCTAGCCAACCACTTCGCAGAGATTCTGTAGGAAAGGACCCAAGGATAGATATGATAGTTAGGTTTCATTAGTGGTTCTCATTCATCTGAGCCTTATTAAAGTTCAGATCACAGGGCCCTTCTCCCAGATTCTTAAGCAGTAAGTTTATGGTGGTACCTGAGAACTCCCATTTCTAGTAAGTTCCTGGGTGACATCAATTCTACTGTCAAAGAATCATATCTTGAGAACTATTGGGTTAGATGATTTTTGACATCCTTGTTCTTCATTTTTATGAGCTAGATGTATGTATTCTAAAAACCATTGTCTGTGCCATTGAGATATTTCCCCATTCCTAGTTCTTGAGCTGTAATGTGTCAAGTTCTGATTATATGGGTGCATCTGTAATAAATGACATTTGCATAGCTCTGTCTTTTTTGGTGTGTCACCTAGAACATTTGGCCAATTAAATTATGAGGCATTAGTCTGCTTTATAAAATAGCCTACCATTTTCTGATTTTATCCTTTTTTGTATTGTTCTGTTTTTTCATAGATTGATCTATGTTTGTCAGTTTTATAGTGGGCTATTACCAAATTTGAAAAATGAAGTAGTTTTCCAGAGATGGTGTATCTTAGTCATTTAGAAAACGGCTCTCTCACATATAGGCATCACCTATTAGAGAAATCATTTCTTGGTGCTTTGTGGGTTTATCTCACTCTAATTGTCAAATGCTTACTCTCTTCAACTCCCTTTTTGGGCTTTTTTTTTTTTCCCTTTTAGTCAACAAAAGAAAGAAAGCAAAAAAAAAAAAAAAAAAAAGAAAGAAAGAAAGAAACAATTTGTGTACCTTACTACATCCAGGCTCTGGGTCAGCCCAACCAGAAAGAAGTATTCCCGTCTCAAACTGTTTTGTTCCTTCATTCTTTTTAATTTCAGAAAATATGCTGGAATAGTTCTCTGGAGTGCTTGTGTGTTTTGTAATTGTAGGCAAGGTCAGACAGTGTTTGTACAGGTTCAAAATTGCTTTTATATAAACAAAGATAAAAACCATTTGAGAGAAGCATTTAAGAATTAGAAGGTTTGTAGTCAATATTTAACAATGAAAAATTTCAGCTTAGCAAAGATGACAAAAATGTTTGGGGTAAAAATAAGTACTTGACAAATTGGACCTGTTGGATTTGAGGTGGCAACCTGCAGAGCAGAAGGATTTAAGAGTGAATGGCTGTTTTGTCATCAGGTGCAAGCTTTGGCTTGAAAACACTCTCTCAAATCTAGGCAACATAGTAAGGACAATGGAGTATTTAGGGAGGACTTACCTGGAATTCAACTGGGTGGATATTAAATGGCAGACAGTTTAAATGGCATCCTCTTTAGAACCAAGAATCTTTAGTAATAGAATTTGCTTTCTTTAAAGTGTTACATGAACTGAATTTCTTATTTAACTTTTATTAATGTCCATTTTCTAAATTGTCTTCTTTCAGACCTCAAGTGTAAGGAAATGGCATTCAGATTTGGTCAACATCTTATCAAGCCCTCTGTGGTGTTTCTCAAAACGGAGCTGTCCTTTGCTCTCGTGAATAGGAAACCGGTCGTACCAGGACGTATCCTTTTCTTGTAAGAGGGTGAAATAAAAAGGTATGCAACCACACAGATGCAGGCTTGGCCTTCAGTGACTGTCCACCCAAGGGAAGCAAGGGATCCACCTCCCTCCCACTTTGGAGAGACCAGGTAAGATGTTATTCACGTTTCTTTGAATCCAGTTGGTGGCACCAGTAATATGCTTGATCAGTGTTGCGGAACTTGTGAGAAGAGTTGCTTAGCAACTGTGGCTTTGGAGGTGAATTTTTGCTTGACCTTTTCACTATAGTAGCTGGGTAAATAAATAGGTGTTTCTAAAATTGGCCCAATGAATATCATGGGCACTTCATGTTCGTTTTATCCATTGTGAATTTTAATGGTAGGTTAGAAATTGGATTGCAACTAAGTGTTGTGGAATTAAGGGATTACATGAGAATTTGAATCTTTGTTTCATTACCTCTTACAGGTCATTCAAATTGTGAGTTTTAATTAAATTCATACATGTATACATACTTATGAAAATTGTTTTTCCTATTGTGATCAGACACGGCATTTTCTCCTGGGAGAAGACCTGGCTTCTAGACCACTGTCTAGTGTTGCTGGTGGTAGAGTTGTTTTATTTCCTTTGAAGGACTTTTCTTTCCCCTGTGGACTACTAGGAGCTTTACTCTAGTTTGCAGTGGGAGATGTAGGAATTGGTGAAACACTCAGGGGAGCTATTTTTATGTTGTTCAAAATATTGCTTGGGCTGAGGTTGTAGCTCAGTGGTAGAGCACTTGCCTAGCAGGTGTGGGGCACTGGGTTCAATCTCAGCACCACATCTAAATAAATAAATAAAATAGAGGTATTGTTTCCATCTATAACTAAAAGGGTTTTTTTTGTTAAGTATTGCTTGTGATTGTGTACATGTGAATTTTATAGTGGCTATTCAAAAATTGTTTTCTTTGTTATGCAGAGTACAATAAGAATCAAATGTCATATTTTAAGATAATATTTTCTGTACTAAGATGTGATTTGACTTGGAAATGAATGAATTCTGAAAGCCCAGATATGCCAAGATTTTTTTCAGTTACGATTTATATTATTATATATGTTCAAAGTACCTACCTTTATGAATAACCTTCCTTCCTAATCATTATAAGCCATTAAAAAAAGGGACAGATAGAAAAACATGTAACAAAAGATAATTGTGATTATATGATAGACTTCTGAATTCCCTGAATCCAAACTTTAATTAATTAAGTTTTGTGGATTTACAAAAATCATGATCAATCAATAAACTGGTAAATAATGTTATGTGAAGTCTCTTCGTATTGGTTTGTTTGCAAGAAGTGCCCAGTGTTTCTGAGGACAGGAACAATGACAGCCAGAACATTTCTGAAATCTATTTCACATCTACAGTGTTGAAAATGGTCTTGGGGCCAGTAGACAATATATTCAGATGATCCTTTTTATGTGAAGATTTTGGAATTTTTTATTTCACTTTACCTTTGTAAACTCTGTTTGGTTATAACTATGAGAAGCATCTTAATAAGATACTCATTTGCTTGCAGAAAGCCAGTCTTTTGTTCTGAGATTTGGGGGGAATTGAAGCTGTGGATAGCTCTGCTCATTAACACTTCATAAAATGAATGGGAGAAGTCCAGAGTGGGCTTTTATCTTCCCCTGGCATTCTATCCAGCCTGCCTTCTAGCTCTTTGGTGAGGGTCATGTGGATTTTAGCAACTCCCTCTCTCTGGGCTCCTCCCATTTAGCCTCCACCCTACTCTGAACCACAGCTCTGATCATATTACTCTTTTGTTCCCTTGCTAGAAAATAAATAATGAGTCTCTGTTTTTGTGAAGAAAAAGTCCTCACTCCTTAGCCTGGTTCTTAAAGCCTTTTATTGTCTAGACCCAATTTTTCTTCTTTCTAGCTATTTCCTAAAAATGTGTTATATTTGACCATAGTTTCCTCTGCTACTCTTTACCTCTAGATTCTCCTTGCTTTTTTAAGTGAGGCGTGTTCATAATTATTCTTCCCTGTTAGGTAAGATATATGGCATCCTCATTGTGATGCTTGGTTCCTTGCTAACATGGTGATTAATTCAAAACTTTGCTACTCTGCCTCATGTCAGAACTGTGCATTCTTTTGTTTTTGCACAGAATTATTCCTTCTTGCGGGTAGGACCTACTCTTTTTTCTTTAATTTTTTTTAGTTGTATATGGACTCAATGCCTTTATTTGTTTTATATGATGCTAGGATCGAACCCAGTGCCTCATACCACTGAGCTACAACTCCAGCCCATAGGGACCTACTTTTGTACAACTCTCTTGTCTTAGCATCACAAAGTACAACAGTGACTGAATTCAAAGGGAAACTATGAACACCAGGAACATATTGTACTGTTTAGTTCATGGCATGGGAGAGTAAGAGTCTGCTAAGATCCTTTTTTCATATTCCCATGCCCAAAGCCCAGTCTTGTTATTTGATTTTTTTTTTTAGATTTATGATTTTTTTATTATTATGACCAAACCATACTTTCCAAACTTCATCCTTTGTCAGTTACAACTCTGTTTTTACAGTTATGTGTTATCCATGTACTGACTTAAGTGTAAAAGCAGTGAATTAATTGATGGCAGATAGGAAAAGATGCTTTTCCATTTCTCTCTGCATGTTAATTTGTCAGTGGACAAGTTTGTATTTTAAGGACAGTATTTTGGCATCTTCATGTAAAGCAGACCATTTCGTCTTGTAGTTTGGATTTTTTTTTTCTACTTAATGATATTTAGGCGACCTTTGGGGAGTGTGCCATTCATGAGAGACTTGGAAATGTTATTTATCCCTGAACTTGTGTCCTTGCTAACATTTTGCTACCTACTCCATTTCTCTTATGACTTTGCTCCCTGGCTTTTTTTTTTTTTAATAGCTTTTGGAGTAGGAAAGGAATTGTCAGATCAGGGGCCGAAGATATGCTTTTGAAATGAGACTGTTTTTTTTTTTTTTTTTTTTTTTGTTGTTGTTGTTGTTTTAAATTCTAAAAAAAGCCACTTCAGTCCCTCCTGGTCCTCACCTAATGCAAACATTCTGATCCTTGCCAACAGTGTTTAAAGCCCATTGAATAAGCTTTGGCCTCTGTGATGCAACACTCTAGAAGAATATGTCAGAATTTCTTAATCCATTAATTTCTTGTTACTGGAAAACGCTTTTTCAGGGTTTCTTGGTGAGAGAACAGCATCATTTTGGAGAGGGCATTTCCAGGATTTTGCAGCGAATGCTGTGTTCATGTGTATTGCTGTACCCCAGCTATTGTTCATGGCTTAAATAAATTTGAACCATTGTGGTTCATACTATTCCTTCTGCACTACGCTGCATCTACCTCTCCTCTCGAGTTGAGCATGAAAAGTGAATTTGAACATGAGTGGAATTCATTTGGGGACTGGGGCTTTTATTGTAAATAAAATGATTCATTTGTTATGTCCTGTAGTTTTCAGCAGACAGCGTATTGATCTTTGGATTGCTATTCAGAATGGCAAAAGGTGCCCTAACATAAGGGGGACATGGCAGCGTTTGCGGATGGATTGAATGTGGTGTGTCATAACAGAGACAAACCTTGCTGCTGGCTGTACTATATTAAACAAACCATTTGTCAACAGTTTATTGAATCAGTTATTAAAAAGAGCAGATTTTTCCAAACAGGGGCATCATACATAAAATGTTATCAGGGCCAAATATTGTTAGCATGATGCATGGAGGGCAAGCTTACAAAGTGCGTTTGTGAAGAATAAGATGAGGTAACTTAGAGGACATTTCTGCTGATGCATTAGAAACAGAGTTTGGGACAATGGAACCTGAGCTGGAAGAACCAACCTTAATAGATAAAAAAGAAAACTCTGGCAAATCTCTCTTCATACAAAATTTTACCTTTGCAAATATGCAGTGAAATGTTTTCTATTTTCAGATTATTACTACATTTAGTATTCCTAAAATAAGTAAAAAACTAACAAAAATTACATCATTACTTAACAAGGATTCTTATGAAATAGATAAAAGTGCCCTTTCAGTCCTTCCATAAAAATCAGAAATATTTGTCACTTCCTGAGTGGATTGCAATCTTGTGAATTCCTTTAATTGTTCAGGAAACCGCAGTTATTAGTGATCTGATGATCTGTCTTTTCTCAAAAATGTTTCTTTTAAAACCCTCCTGTACAAATAAAAAGAGCACAAGTACTATTTTAATATACTTATTGCTAAAGATAGAGTTGTTCTCTTAAAATTGCCCTAAGCACATGTCTTAACTCTGCCCTATGTATATCAGCTAGCTTAAATACTTGGGTAGAGATGTTTGAAGGTGAACTTGCTGCCTTTGGCCTGAGCTGTAGTGGGCACATAGGTTTATTTGTGGACATATGGTCATATTTTTTTTCTTCTTTTGAAAAGTTGTGTTGAAAGATATGAATATAGCAGAGATTGCTCAGGTGGATCTCCCCTGCCCTTTGGAAAAGATTTCCAGACACTTACCTACCCTGGGCTATTAGCATACATGTGCCCAGCTAGAACCAGCTTTCCCTGACATTTGTCAGCAAGAACAAAGGAAGTGGATGCTTTCATCAGTCTCTGAGTTGATCAACCTCTGTTTTCAGTGTCTAGCATATGCTGGAGAGGATCCAGTCAGTCCCCATTGTAAGATAATCATTTTGTGACCTTTTATCCTTCTTGATGTTGATCTGAGAGATTCCTGAGTAGAAAACAAATGCTTTTTATCCCAAATGCCAGCTTATTAGTTGGTAGTGAGCTAACAGTGTTGAGGATGATTCTCAGGCTGTACTGGGGGTCAGCAGGGTGTGATTTATAGATACCACAAGGGAAAGAGAAATGGATATTTCTATATGAATGCAAGGAAGATTTGAAATTGTATAGAGAAAAGTGTATGGACTTCATGCTCCTTGCCTTGGATCCTTCCAATGAAGGTAATTTATCCATGATATAGTAAGTAAAGCATGTCCCTATTGGTCTCTATACCTCTTGTAAGCTATGTCCTGTT